CCCCTCCTCCCTCAGACCCAAGGGTGCAGGCCCCCAGCCCCCTCCTCCTTCAGACCCAGGGGTCCAGGCCCCCAGCCCCTCCTCCCTCAGACCCAGGGGTCCAGGCCCCCGGCCCCTCCTCCCTCAGACCCAGGAGTCCTGTCCCCCCAGCCCCTCCTCTCGCTCCATCTGTACCCCTGTTTTCTGGGGGCTGGGTGGTGTTCTTCAGGACTGAAGGAGCATTGAGACAGGGCAGTCTGGAGGTCTGGACCCTCCCCGGGGTTGAGGGGTTAGTAGCTGGGCTGGGAGTTTCAGGGGCTGGATTCCATTTTGGGCTCTGTCTCCGTCTTCCTTTGTGACTTTAACTTCTATGTTTTGCTTTCTCTCTCTGAGAAATGGGGCTACACTACCCCCCCTCCTCCCCCCGTTCTTAGGAAGCTTAGGAGGATCCCACGTGTGTCAAGAAGTCAACACAGAATCGGAACTACTATCATTAATCTCAACAAGTGAGACTTACTGATCATTACTGCCGGCGGTCATGATCGTGTTTTATTGAGAGACAATAGTCGTTCTTTTATCCATTCATTTAAGAAACGCCCACTCACTGCTCTGTGCTGGGCCGGGCGCTGGGGGTGCAGCCGGGATCCAACAGATGCAGCCCCGATTCCCACATGCGTTGAGGGAGGTGGACGAGACACAACAACACACTTCCTGGAAGTGCCCTGAGGGTGTGGAACCAGGGAAGGGGATGCAGCTGCTTCAGATGAGATGCTTCGGGAAGGCACCCGCAGACCTGGGACCTGAGCATTCCCGGTGGCGGGAACAGCACATGCAAAGGTTCGAGGGTGGAGTAGGTATATAGTGTTGGAGGGACGGGGCCCGGATGAGGGATCCAAGGAGAAGGAGAGGGAACGGGCTATTTTTTTATTTAAATTAAATCTTTATTGTTCAGATTATTACAGTTGTTCCTCTTCCCCGCCCCGACCCCCATAGCTCCCCTCTACCCGTTTCCCACCCCCCCCTCTGC